TAGATTTGGAATGAGGAGCACTGAAGAGAAATGCTAAGCCCCAGGCCTGAGGTTGTTTCCTGTCCCCGAGAAAAGCCAATAGGCCAAACTAAGAAACTAACTTGCACTGAGGCACTGTCCCACCCTGCACACGCAGAAGCTTTTATTCAGGTGGGAACCAGAGGTCAGAGGCTGCTCAGTCACTGGCTTGTTGACCCATGAACAGAGCAATTATCAAGCTGATGAGGCCATACCAGTGCTAATTAAAAACCATGTGAGGCAGAACAAGTCACTGTTTGGTGTCAGCCACTTGTGAAATTAGCCTGTAGGCAGCTCCCATAGCCCTGCTTCCGGAGAGTGAAGAGGGAGAAACAGCAGCCTGCCGTAAACCTGCTTTACCATGGTACATTGAAGTGGTCTGGTCTTTGCTTATTGATTGACCATTTCTGCATCTCTGTGCTATGTTGGTTAACACTCCTGCTTCTCATCCTGCCCCAGTCTCCTTCTTTGAACAAACCATACCTGGTCCCTTAGAAGGGAGCATTCTTCTATTCCCCCACTGCAAGAACCCAAACCTAGCAAGGCCAGAAAACCAGGTGAGAAGGAGAATCCATGTGCTGCACCTGTGAAAATATAAAGTCATTGAGAAGCCTTCCTGTGCAGAGCCAGTAGGACATCTTCTGGATCACCTATTCGATAGAGGGGAGAGAGTCTATTCAGTCTATGTATCTCACAGTATGCAGGGAAGACCCCTGACCTGCTCTGTAGTGTGCAGGGTGGATAAAAATAAATGATGTTTAAAAAAAAAAAGATTTCTTTTATTTAATTGAATTTTTTTGTTAAGACACTTTAAAAAATAAACCTATATACAGATAGTTTTAAGATATATTAAAGCTTAAACTCACCATGGAATAGGGATTATAACTTCTAATTTTATACTATTTGAGACAATATATTCATGTAACCTTTTTAGAAAAGTTTTATAAATAGGTCACAACAGGCCATGGACTATATTAGGGGCCCAATCTTATGGGGTTCCCAGGGGCTCCTCTATAGATTAGTAAAGATTAAGGCATAGGTGACGCCTACAGAGGGCAGTGGGGGGGCATGTGCCCCCCCTAAAATTGTCCCTCATTGGCCAGGGAGTGGGGATTGCTGGTGGGTGCCCCCCACTCAGGAAGCAGCTGGATTCCACCTCCCCCCACCAGTCGGTGATCAGCTGCTGGAAGACCCACCCCCACAGTCACCGATCGGCCGCAAGCACTGGCAGCTCTTCCGGTTTGCCAGCAGCACTTCCGCCAACAGCGATCAGCCACTGGGGGACCACCCCCATCGGCAATCAGCAGCTGGTGCCCCCACCCCAGAGCCAGGAGGCACCAGTCGCCCATGGATTAAAGAAAACCACTCTACCCAATGGGACTCAGTGCTCGGTCTAAAGATCCCATTAAGCATTTCTGTGATGCTTAGATTCAATTCTCAAATTGTGGATTTGTGTCTCCAAAGATAACATCCTTGGTAACAGTAGTATATGGAGATTTCATAGACTTCATAGACATTAGGGCTGGAAGGGACCTTGGAAGATCATCAAGTCCAGCCCCCTGCCCCAGGGGCAGGAAGTCAGCTGGGGTCACAGGATCCCAGCAAGATAAACGTCCAATTGACTCTTATGAGATGGGAAATAACAAACCTGATTACCTACCCATCAGCCCTATTGTCTATCTGCAAGTGTTTATACACAGTCAAGCCCTTACCTCTCTCTAAAAGTGCAAAGTTTCAAGAAGTTAAATGAAGAGAGGATTGTTGGGGGTGAAGTAGATCTGGGCAAGGAGGAGGAGTCTGGAGATAAATGCAAAGAGGGAGGGGCAGTAGAAACAAAAGAGAAACATTTTGAGCAGAATATTCCAGAAGTCTTGAGGGATACATTTCTGAATATAGCCTCTCCATTGATTTGAGCTCTAGTGAGGGAATGGTATGGTAGAAGAGAAAACCTATCATGGCAGCAGGCTTGCCAGGCCATAAAAAAGAGAAGAAATCAAAGATGAGAAGAAATCTAGAAGAAAGTGAAGAAAGCTCCATGCTAATAACATAGGGCTGCAGCGCTCATTTGATGTCCCTCTAATATAGAGTAGCAAAAATATCCCACAAATATCCATGATTAATCTAGCAAACTGGAGATAGTTCACCTCCCAATGACTTTACAAGTATCTGCTTCAGTTAGCTTTGGTAAATAAAATAACCAAATCATAGTTCATTTTTCTGATGTAGCTGCAAAATTAATCTGAAAAAAATACCAAAATAAATCATTGCTTTAAAATGTGTAGCGTGTACCTTCTAAAAACAAAACCTACATCTCTCTCTGAGTTGTGAATAATATGTATTAAGGTTATATCAAACAACAAAAATGCACTTTTTGTAGAAAACAATGATTAAATCAAGGCTTCCTGACCAGTGATTTAAATCATGATTTTAATTATGATTTAAATTGATTTGATTTAAATCAAATTCATCCTGACAGTGCATCCATTTACATACTCCTTGGTCATAGTACCTGAAAACTCTTGGCAACCCGTATCAAGAAAGGCACACAGGCTTGAAGCCTGCTCAGAAATAAACTTCCTGTCCTCCTAATGAGAAAACAATCATCCAGTCCATACCCTGAGCAGAAGCACCCATACCTCTGCCCTGCTGCCCATGCTCATTATGATACAGGATTTAATTCCAGGGTCCCAAGCTCCTTCTCCAAGAAAACAAAATCAGACAGTCTTGGGCACAGGTGGAGTCTGCTGTTCTTCATGGCTGTATCAAATACACATGGACAGGGAAGAAGTGTTTGGGCCATGAAAACAAATCTAATTCTTAGCGTTGGCACTGGAGTGCTTAGCCAGCTCACCATGACATCTTTCCTCTTGTTTGTACAGAATTTGTACAAATCCTCCCTCCTACAAGAGCTCAAAGAGGCTTAGAAATTAAACAGACAGACCTACCAACCATTGGGGAATCCCTTCATTTATCATGAAGTGCACTGTGCAGGAAACACCCACTTCAGGGATAAAAACTGCTTAACACTGAAGCCACGTGGCACAGCATGCAGTGGGAAGAACTAGCCATTCAAATGGGCACACTGTTTGTTATGTGACTCTCCTCCTCTGTTGTGTTCCTGCCTTACCTTTCTATGGCCACTGGAAGATTTTCTTTGCCCGCCAATATGTTTGCATCAATTTTTGATCTAATAGAAGGCTCCTTTTGCCCAGATATGTAATTTATTTGTGCCCACACAGTGTCTCAGAGCCTGGATCCTTTCCCCTCTGGTGCTGCTAAGCTGCTTCTCGCTTGTCCATGGAAAACAAATGGAACTCACTTTTTTGTTGTTTCTCTTCACCTGTCTGAGCGCGTGGCCACTACCCTCAGGCATTGAGGGATGCCAAGGGAGAAATCAGCGGTGGGGGAATACTAGCTTGTGTAAGTCTCCCACAGGCAGTGGGCAAGGTGTGACACAGCCTTGGCCCTATTTGTTTGGGGCTACTGCATCCTCCTTGCTGGGTTTGGAATCAGTTCACCTTTCCGGTGAGATGGAGTGACCTCTGCTGGACAGCAGGAGTGTTGTTGTCCAGCCAGGACCCATACTTGGCCTCTGGACTGACAGACTTTGGAGAAAGCATTTCTATGGAAGTGGGAAAGTGGTTCTTCTCCCTCCACACCCACTTTCCTTTCATAGCCACCCACCAGACAGTTCCCTGGCCTGACTATACAGCCATAGTGTCAAGATGCAGGGATGCTACAAGTGACAGGCATTTTCATGTATTGTACTGAATCATACAGTAATGGACAATGATCTTGGAGTGCAGAAGGGGTCCCAGGAAGATAAGACTACAGTCAGTGGCAAGTCTCACCTGAGGGCAGTGGCCACAAGGAACACAATGGGCTGGTGACATGAATATGTATCGCTGCTAAACACAACAATGTATAGGACAGAGAATGGGACAGTGGCGCCCCACAGGAGTACGCACCACCAGTAGTAGTGCACCACGGGGCAATGCATTTGGGTGCATGAGGTCTGCTGGTCCCGAGAGAACTTGGATCATCCCTTCCCTTTCAGCTGCAGCAGACTTTAGCTGGCTGTTTCCGCACATCATTCTCCTCACTAGGGCATTCACGAACCTTTACAAAGGACACTAAACCACCTGACCAAACCAAACACCATGGACTCTCTCCGACCCAATTAGTTTCTCAGTTCTGGTGCCTCTTTTTAACAATACAGTGTCCAGGTTGGTGCCAACTGCCACTGTCCAGGCATTGGGATTGTTGTGTCCACCCTGGCCCCCATGCAACCAACAGGAATGTGCCAGCCATAGCCATGGAAATCAGGAGCAACACAGATCCAGCATAAGCTACCTAGGCACACTGTGGCCACACACCAGCAGAGTGCCTAGGATGCACCTGTTGTATTGGCATCTCTACAAGGGAGGGGGAAGAAAGCCTTGTAACTGAAAGCTCAGTTGTTTTACACATCTCTCTCTTTCTTTCTCCTCTCTCCCTACCCTGGGAGAGTTTCCTAAATGCCCAGGAAGAGCAGATGCCCTTTACCACCTGGGTCAGAGGAGCCTGGCTGCCCATCAAAACTGGTGCTCAGGCTCTCCATCCCCTGCCAAGGTGAGGGGACGTCCCCTCAGACCTCAGGTGACTTTTGTTAGAGCCTGTGGACTGCCCCCAGCACCTGCCCCCCTGGCAGGGGTGGCAGGACCCAGCTGGCAGGGGCCGGAGCCTTCCAGGGGCCTGTTGCAAAAAAGAGGGTAAAAGTGACCCTGGCTTGGGACACCCTCCCCTCCAGCCCTGCTCTCCCTCACCCTCGGCATCTCTCTCTCCTCCTTGCTTTTGTTTCTCTCCTTTCTCCGCTAAGCTCGGGCTCGGCGCTGCCGGCGGGGGGCTGCTGTCTGATTGACGGGCGAGCATTTCAAAGGGCAGGAGGAGGAGGAGGAGGAGATGGCTGTAGTATTATGCTAATGCAGGGAGCTGGACCCGCCTTTCCCCTGCCCTAGCGGAGCCGGGGCTGGTGCGGAGACGGCAGAGGGGAAGTGCAAGGAGGCTACAAAAGCGAGCGAGCGAGCGAGCGCGGAGCCCGCAGGTCTCCGCGGCCGGAGGAGCGAGGTCGCCCGGCGGCTGCAGCCCCGCGCCGGGGCCGGGGAACATGAGCAGGACGAGCGCCGCGGCCGGGACACCCCTGTGCGGGGCTCTGCTCCGCTCCCTCTGCCTGGGGACGCTGATCGCTCTGGCCGATGCCAAAGGGACTTTCTACCACCACCCGCCCCCCGTGCCCTACAGCAGCCGATACAACCTCTACACCTCCGGATCCAGCCCGCAGCTCAGCCCGGGCAAGCCCATGGGCAGACACAAGTAAGTCGCTGCTTCGGGTCTCTCCTTCCAGGCGATCGGGGATGCGGAGCCACCGCCGAGCCCTGCCACGAGGGATCGGGTCTCGCGGGGGGGGGGGGTGAGGCTGGGGCAGAGACTTGCCCCTGGAAGTGTAGCTCTGGGGGAGCAGCTGCACTACTTTGGGGTTTGGTGCCAGGGCCCCTTGGCCCAGCCCAGAGCAGCAGATTAAATTGGGTTTAAAAAAAAAATCTGGAATGAGCTTCTGGAAAAGGGGCTGGAAAGAGGTAACTCACTTTCTTTCTTGCAGCTGCAGCAGAGGGGCCAGCCTTTGGCTCCAGGCCGCTCTAGGAAGAACTATGAGGGATGATGGGGGCAATAAATAGTGGCAGTGGCAGTGCCAGCACGAGGTGGCCAAGCACCTGTAAGTTTTCCAGCTGCACAGGGCTCAAACAGCAGCTGCGGCTGGACACCACTTAGCCACAGGTGGGGACAAAAGGGAAGGGGTCTCTCTGGAAGAAGTCAGCCAGTCCGCTCACTTTTTACCTGGCTGGTTGTGGTTCTGAGGAGGGTGGCTACCATCTCTACCTGCCTTGCTTGCTGGCTTTGTTAATAAGGCATTGCAAGGAGTTTGCAAGGACATCGTGGCTAAAAATTGATGGTAAATTCAAGCACTGCCTTTCTTCCAACTGAGAAGAGGAGCTGGCTTCTAGGCTGGAGCAGCCCTGTGCAAAGCTTAATGACTGACTGGATTCCTACCAGTGCCACCCCAAGCAGAATTTGTCCCTGTGGTTAGATAGAACCAGGCAGCACATCCTGGGGCTTCAGGGGGATGGAGCCTCCTAGACAGGTTGGAGGAGCTTGTTTCTCGAGGGGATAGTGTGTGGGGGAGTGACCAGTTAGAGATGGGGATGAAGAATCAAAGGGCTCTTCAGGGCACACAGAGGGGGCACCAGAGAGCACTGGTAGGGTTGGGTCAGAATGGTTGTCCCTGGTGGGAAGTTGCCAGTGCTTGCAGAGACCGTGTGGTGATGGAGCAGAGACCCCTCCTCATCTGGCCTGGGGCAGCTGCGCTCTTGAAACATGCAGCCCTGCTTTCCCTGGCCTCTTGTTGGGTCCCAGATGCTATTTATTGGGTCAATTTAAGTCCTGTGCAGGGCTGATTGGATTGATTTTAAAGGTAACCATAGCCTTTAAAGCAGGAGAGGGGAATTATTTTGGGCAGAGGGCCACTTACTGAGTTTTGGCAAGCCATCAAGGGCCGCATGACAAGCAGCCAGGGGCAGATAAATACAGTATTCATTTTCAAATTTTCAAGGGGCCCTGCGGGACAAATAGAATGGCCCGGTGGGCCACATCCGGCCCACGGGCCCCATTTTGCCCACCCCTGCTTTAAAGAGTGGTCGCCCTGAGACCAATGCTAGTGGCTCCTCTGGGACTTGCACTGCCTAGGGGATGCTCTTCAGTTTGATGTGTTCCCCGCCCTTCCCCCCCGCAGTGCTTCACTCCATCCTCTCACCGGGCCCTCCCATGTTCCCTCCTTCTCATAGTGTTTACCTCCTTCTGCCCCATTAGCTGCTGCCACCATTGGCAGCCACTGCTTCCAAATATCTTCCTCCTCCCCCATGGCAGGATGGGCCAGGCTCCTGTGCTAACTCATTACTACCCTCCCCTGGAATTCCACCCTTCACCCAGTGCTCCAGCCTTCCAGTGGGTGACAGTGGGGGAATGAAGATGCTTTCCCTTGCTCTGGCTGGTCTGGCACTGTAGCTAGCTGGGGCTGCTTGGCAGATGGGCTGGGAAGTACTAGTAGATCACAGCTTCTCTACAGTCATGCCCTCAGCCCAGCTCTGCCCCTCCTTCTTTCCGCTCCAACATGCCCAGCTACTGCAGCAGTTCTCAAGCTTTTTAGACTCAAGGCACCCCTTACTGGCAGCAGTTCTCAAGCTTTTTAGACTCAAGGCCCCCCTTACTCGACTCGAGGCACACCGCCATAACTTGTGTGAACTGAGCAGCACCCCATTAAAAAAACTAATTTATTAAAGCGCTTGCCTCCTTGCAGAGGGGCAGGGCAGAAGTCTGGCCTGAATTTATCTGCTTAGTTCCTCACAGCTTGCAGCACCCTTCAAAAGATCTTGTGGCACCCTGGTCTCTCAACCTAGTGGTTGAGAACCACTGAGATACTGTCTCAGCCAAACCCATGAAAGTTGGAATAACAGGGAGAGAAAGCTCAGCCTCAGTCCAGTGAGTGGGAAAGCTGGATTATCTTTTTTCCTCCATTTATGAGGGAGCAGAGAGAATGCTCCATGGGAAACCAAATCAGGATACTTCAGCTCTTTTGTATGGAGAGGAGGCTGATAATGCTGAATGTAGCCAAACATGATGCAAGCAGGTCTGGGCAGGATATACACACATACCCACTTCTCTAATTAATGCTCCTCATTCCTGACAGGCTCCCATTGTTATTCTAGATCTGGCACCCTCCCAGAACACCTCAACCCCAGGGAGGCTATCCTTTGCTGTATTAGCTCTGCTCCTCTCATGAGCAGACCCTGCCACCTGTGCCTAAGCAATGGCGCAACATGGGATGACTGGACAACCGCACCTTAAGAATTAGACTGAGAACCCCAACTTGCTTCCTTTGTGACCAAACTAGAATGATCTCCTAGAGGTGAAGTCTGTGATGCTGCACCTCCTTGCTGCCTCTGTCCTAGACGGGGGATGCTTGGACAACCAGAGCCATTCCTAGTTTGTGGTTTAGCATCAGACAACACGACCTTCTTACATCACAGTGCTGTTTCCTACCCCCATGAATTCACTGAGCCCCATCTGCTTTTTCCCATAGACTCACTGCAGCCATCTCAACCTTTGGCTTTATCCCTGCAGCCTTCTCTGCGCCTCCAGAGCCATCTGCTGTGTTGCTGTCCCCTTAATCCTCCTCTGAAATTCTCTGTTGTCTCTGCCCCTATGGGCAGCATGGCCCATCTGGTTCTCCCTGCCTCCCTGCATGGTACTAAAATCGCCCCAGCTTCCAACTGTCCCTAGCACTACACCTGCATCCTCCCTGCTTTGCCTTCCTTTCCTGACCTCAATCCACAAGTGCCCAGCTTGATCCTATTGCATGTGCTACTCCACCCTGCCAACTGGGCTCCCACATGGATCAGAGGCTGAGCGATCACAGAAAATGAACTGTGACTTGGCAGCATTTTGCCACTGGAAAAGAAAGAACATGACAGGGCAGAACTGTCCTGCTGGGCACATCAACTGTCCCACTGGCACCAAGTGACACAGCCCAGGGCTCATTTGCTTCAGCCACTGGCAACTGCAAGGTGCCCAGGGTTTTACCACTCAGGCAAGCTACTAATTAGGGGTGGGGCTATTCCCCATAAGGGAGATACAGATAGAGCAGGTGAAGAGGCCCCAGCTAATGGCCTTGTTTTCTCAGGGTCTGGAAAACAAGTGCAAAACCAGCTTAAATTTTGCTAAGACCCTGTCTACACCATAAGAACTACCAGAGGGAAGGAGCTGGTTACAAAACAGTTGTCCCATCTGAAGCTCCAGTGTGGTTCAGTCTTGCAGTGCAGGTGGGACCACTCGGTGATTTAAGTATGTTCTCAAATCCTATCATAGAATCATAGAAAAGTAGAGCTGGAAGGGACCTCCAAACGTCATCTAGCCCAACCTCCCCCACCAGAGGCAGGATCATCTCTATCCAAACCATCCTATACCAATCCATTGTCTAACCTACTAGCAAAGCTACACAATCGACCCTGAAAAACACAAGCCATAACACCCTAACCTGCCACAGGTAAAGCAGGGAGTCAATGGCCCTGCTGAAGCCAAAGACTTTTGAGAGGCTGGAGGGAAGGAACATGGATCAATTTTGCCTACACATCAAGATAGATTAGAAGACTGCTAGCTGGAGGCAGGAGCAGGGCAGCCTGCACTGGATTTCTGTGCCCTGCATGAGATGGACTCTAGCAAAAATACAAAGCAGTTGCATGGAGTCTGTGCAGCCCATCTCAATGCAGGCTTGCAGGCAAGAGGAGCCTAGTGACTGAGGACAAAGGGGCAGCCACCAGCCAGGAAGGGTCCTGTGGGAGGGGGGAGACCATCATCAGCACTTGTGGACAGGTAGAGAGCTGGGTGTATGGAGAAGCAGACTGTGTGCATGCATCCTGCAACCAGAGCTCCCTCCCTAGACTGTAAGCACATGCAGAAGGCTGGGTTGAGGTCTTGCAGCGTCACTGAGCTCTGGGTTGAGAGCAGAACCTGGAGTGTTCGATCTCTGTTGTAACCCTAAGCAGAGATGTTAGATGCACCCATGTCCATGTAGAGAAGAATGTAGATCTGAGTCCCAAAGCCATTCACTCGCCGGCAGGGAAACACTGTGCCCCTCCACAATAGAGAAGCGTTAGCCCTTCTGTTTCCTGAGGCTTGACAGGGCTGGCACTAGCAGCAGCAGCACCTCCCTTCTGTGGTTTCTGGGGTTGTTACAGCTGAAGGGAGGGGAAGTCCCAGAAGGAATTATATTAGCATCGGGAAAACCGGCCCCAATTCATCAGACCCAACCGCAGCCTGGAGCCCCTCACGGGAGGGGAAATCTTGGGCTGATTTTTCCCTGCTACTTTTTCTCCCTGCTGAGTCACAGCCAGACTGAGAAGCAGCAGCCTCAAAGTATAGCCTGGGTTTATACCCAGCCAAACCTAGAGAGCTCTGGAGACCATGTGAGCTGACCTCCTGAGAGAGCCAGAGCAAAGGCACTCAGGTGTCCATGGTGCAATCCTGGCAGCCCTAGACACGGGAGACTTCTGCACATGGTTGTTCTGAGGAGCAGGGCTTCTGGGTGCTTATCCTCATCAAGCATCTGAGCGGCCCCATCCACAGGGGCCAGCTCCATGCCTTATGGATGGCCACACATTGCAGAGATGGGTAATGTAGCTAAGGGTATCTGGACTCAGGACCTCTCTTGAAGGAGCTCCTGATACCTTGGAACCCAACACCTCACTCCTTACTGCACAGCACAGCTCCTCCTTCTGCTTTAAGTGCATCCTGATGCAGCAAGGGGCAGTGCAGGGACCATGCCTGCACAGCAGTGCTCAGAGGCATGCCTCAGATTCACCAATGCAAAAAAAAAGTCCACGCCACTTTCAGCTCTTCCCATTCCTTCCTACAGACTCCAGCATACAGTTGGATGTGGGGCTCATGGGGGCGGGGGGCTCCAGTCTGAGCTCTCTTGCTGTGACTTTTCCAGGTCAGTGGTGTTGGTTAATTAATTATTCCAAGTGAACGAGCAGACTGAGGGAGCCCTCTAGCTGCCTAACCCTATAGGAGACCTCAGGCGCAGGCATTAGCCAGTTGCAGGTAAATCCTGGACTGGACGGGTCTTTTGTGCCACTCCCTTCTATGGGGGTTGGTCGCAGTGCTCCCCTCCACCCCCAGCAGAGGATTCCTTGCTGCTCCCTCCTGACTGTGGTCTGTTATTCCCACTGTAGGAGTTACTGCGCATATGTGGTACAGAGGAACGTGACATGTGCCCTGCAGGATGGGGCCGAAAGCTACGTGAAGGCGGAGTATCACAAGTGCAGCTGGGGGCCTAAGTGCCCAGGGAAAGTCCTGTGAGTATCCTTGGGATATAGTCATGCTTGTGACCTTGGGGAGATGGTGGGGTCTTGGAGACTCAGCTGGGAGAAGCATCTGCCCTCATGTGAGACATACTCGCACTGCAGTGCAAGCATGTAGTTTTCCTGTCGCTGTCCCAGAGCTGGGCTGCCTGCACCGTGTCTGGATGAGGCTTACCTGGGTTCCTACTTACAGTAACAGCAGGGAATCCATAGGTTTGCCTCAATGAAACACCAGAAGAGGCATGGCCCAGCTGATGGGATAGCAGCTTCAGTCTCAAGAGATCAGGGCTGTACCCCTGGCGCTGCCACTAATTTGCTATCTGAACTTGGGCAAGTCAGGCCGCCTCTTGGGGCCTCTGTCTTCTTGCCCATCCTTTGCCTGTCTAGTCAGTTTGGACTGTTAGCTCTTTGGGATGGAAACTGTCTCTGTGTCTGCACAGCACGTAGCACAGGAACGCTCTGATCTCAGCCAGGACTTCAATGTACTCTTCTGCTACCAACAGTACAAAGTAACACAGGAGTCAGGAGCAGGCCAACCTGCACTGAATTTCTGTTCCTGCTGTGGCATGGACGGCAGCAAATATGGGTGGAGGGTGGAGACAGGCCCAACCTGGGTCCTCAATTCCCAGCCCCCTTGAACTTTGGGGAAGTCTAGCTCTGGATCTAGTCCTCAGAGTTCAACTCCCAGAACTCCCAGTTTCACGTGTTCCCTGACAATAATCTAGCGAGCAAAAGATCCTTTGCCACTCATACTGCACTTTCCTTTGGAGTATGGGAACCCGTTTCACAGGTGAGGTCCTGTGGCTCAGGGAAGGAGAGTGACTTGCCCAAGACCACACAGTACATCCGTAGCGGAGCCATGAACAGAAGCATGACTGTGGTGCTCATTTCTGGTCAGAGATGGAGCAGTAGTAGGAGGGAGTGTAGAGTCAGGCAATGAAAAGGTTAGAGGGGAGAGAGACATCTGAATGGGGAGAGAAGGTTTTATTTAGAGAGAAGCAAGGAGACATGTCCGAGTTGGAAGGGCAGAAAGGGTAAGCAACACTCCTAGGTAGAAGACAGGGTAGAGATGCACCTTATAGACTTATTGAATCAAAGATGCATAAGCTTCCGTGAGCCAGAGCTCACGTCATAGATTTCACAGATTCATAGACATTCAGGCTGGAAGGGACCTCGCAAGATCATCGGGTCCAGCTCCCCACCCCCGAGGGACAGGAAGTCTGCTAGGGTCAAGTGATCCCAGCAAGATAAGCATCCAAATGTGTTTAAAGGCATCCAAAGTAGGTACCACCACTTCTGGAGGGTCTGTTCCAGACTTTGGGAACTTGGACAGTAAAGAAGTTTTTCCTTATGTCCAGTCTAAAACGATCTTCCTGGAGTTTGTGACCATTAGTCCTTGTCTTCCCTTGGGGTGTCATGGTGAACAGACATTCTCCCAGTTCCTGGTGCACACCCCTAATATATTTATAGGCCGCCACCAAGCCCCACCTGAGCCTTTGCTTTTACTGTTCCAGACTTTGGGAACTTGGACAGTAAAGAAGTTTTTCCTTATGTCCAGTCTAAAACGATCTTCCTGGAGTTTGTGACCATTAGTCCTTGTCTTCCCTTGGGGTGTCATGGTGAACAGACATTCTCCCAGTTCCTGGTGCACACCCCTAATATATTTATAGGCCGCCACCAAGCCCCACCTGAGCCTTTGCTTTTACAGGCTGAAGAGTCCCATGTCTCTCAGCCTCTCCTCATAAGACTTGTTCTCTTGACCTCTGATCATCCGTGTGGCTCTCCTCTGGACTTTCTCAAGCTTCTTCACATCCTTCTTAAAGTGCGGAGCCCAGAACTGAGTGAAGTACTCTATGGCCTCACCAAGGCCGAGTACAGCGGAAGGATGACTTCCTGGGTTTTGCTTGAGATGCATTGATAGATACAAGCCAGGGTTTTGTTTGCTTTGCTGGCTGTGGCATCGCCTTAGTGGCTCATATTCATCTTGTGGTCAGTCATGACCCCCAAGTCCCTTTCGGTCATGGTGCTAGTGAGTCTAGCACTGCCGAGCCTATAGGTGTGATGTGGATTTTTTTCCCCCCTGAGGTAGAGCACCTTGCATTTCTCCATGTTCAGTGCCATCAGGTTTTGGTCCACCCACCTTGCAAGCCTATCCATGTTGGCCTAAATCGCCAGCCTATCCTCTAGCATGACCACACTTCCCCATAGTTTGGTGTCATCAGCAAATTTAGCCAGTCCGCTTCTGATACCTGAGTCCAGATCATTTATAAATATGTTAAAAAGTACTGGTCTGAGTCTGGAGCCCTGGGGGACACACTGGTCACTATGCACCATGTTGACATGGTTCCATTGACTATCACTTTCTGGGTCTGACCATGGAGCCAGTTCCCAAGACATTGGACCGTGAGGTTGTCAAGGCCACAGTTCACCAATTTAACCATGAGGACTTAATGGGAGACCAAGTCAAACGCTTTTTTGAAGTCCAAGTAGATGATGTCAACCACCACTCCTTTGTCCAGGCGATGTGTCACCTGGTCGTAGAAGGAAATGAGGTTCATCAGGCAAGACCTATCCACAATGAAGCCATGTTGGCTATCCTTCAGGATATTGTATTCCATTAGCCTGTTGTTAATGGTTTCTTTGATGATTTTTTCCAATATCTTTACAGGGATTGAGGTCAAACTGATTAGCCTTTAGTTCTCTGGATCTTCTTTCCTTCCTTTCTTGAAAATGGGCACCACATTGGCCCTCTTCCAATCCTCAGGAACCTTACCTGAGTGCCATGAGTTCTCAAATATCCTTGCCAATGGCCACACTATGATGTCAGCCAGTTCTTTTAGCACTCTCGGATGCATTCCCTCCAGACCAACTGATTTGTGGGTGTCTAGCCTCCCAAGGTGTCCCTTCACGAGGCCTTCACTACTGATGAGTATGTGTTTGCCGTATTGCAATTCTGCATCTTGTTAGGCAGGGTGATCCCCTTGGGCTGGTGCAAGACTGATGCAAAATAGTCGTTAAGGACATTAGCTTTTTCCTGGTTGCCGTTGTCAGCTGCCCCATTTGGTTTAGCAGGGGTCAAATGTTGTCCCTGTTTTTCTTCCAACAACCATGTATCTGAAGAAGGACTTTTTGTTGCCATTGATTCCCGTAGCCAATATGAGTTCAGTTTTGGCCTTGGCTTTCCTAGTTTGCTCCCTACAGGTGGGACCAGTGCCGAATAATCCTCCTTGGTGATGTTACCTGACTTCCAATCTTTGTAGGCTTCTCTTTTCAGATACAAGAGGCCCAGGAGTCCCCTATTTAGCCACAGGGATCTCCCAACCCTTTTGCTACCTTTCCTTCAGGCTGGGATGGACTTCCCTTGTGCTTCAAGGATTGCATCCTTAAGGAGCAACCACTCTTCATGGACTCCTCTCTCTCTCTCTCTCTTTCATCAGATGCTATGAAAGGACATGCAAAGATGAAGTGAGCTCTGACTCTCAGAAGCTTATGAATCTCTGATTTAGTTAGTTTATAAGGTGCATCTTTACCTTGCCTTCTGCTTGACTTCAGACTAACACAGCTAACTACCTCTCTCAAAAGAGTCCTAGTTACCCATTCTTACAGCATGGAGGGCCATGAGTAAAACTGAAAGGCAGCACACCAAAAACCAACCAACCAAGGACATACTTTTCTCTACAAGCATAACCAACCCATGGGACTCCTTGCTACAGGACAGCATCACAGTCCAGAACTTAGTACGACACAGAAAAAGATTAGTATGTTCATGACTGGTAGGATCCATCACAGATGCATTCAGTAAGATAAATTATAAACCCTCATGGTTCAAGACAAAGGACAGCCATTGTCTGTCTGTGGTCAGGAAGAAACCTCCCCTCTGGGATGGTAAGAGAATCCTGACTGCAGGTTTTCCATGCCCTGCCCTGAGCGCCTCTGCTCCCACTGAGGGAGCCAGTCTCCCTGCCTGGCATTAGTGTCCATGAGGCAGGGGTCCTTCCTCACAGATCTGCCATCTCTTTTCAGGAATGGTTTGGCTCTTCTGGGACATGAGGCTACTAGCCTAGAGGTGTGAGGCAGTGTGGCAGCATGTGCAAATTAAGATACTCTGTGTGCCAGACATAAGGAAAGAGGGGGGAGAGGGAGTAACCAAAAATCCATTTTTTGTGGCAAGCAGAGGCTTTTAGTGAAAAATGTCAGTGCTTCAAACAGCTCCATATGAACCGTATGACCATATGACACCACCATAGAACCGTATGACTTGTGCTTCTCTACCACCTGCACCCAAGGATCCAGAGGCCCCTACAAACATTTGTGAGGCCTGGCCTTGCCCTGAGGGATGCAAAGCAGAGTTGTCATCCCCTTTCATTAATAGGGCAAACTGAGGCATGGAGAAGTGAAAAGTCTAATTTTCAGAGGGGCAGAGCTCTCCCCATCACCCAGTGAAGCCAGTGGGAGCTGCATGTGCTCATCACTAGTGAAACCAGGTCTTAGAGGGTCTTTCACAAGAGCTCTTTATACTGGGTGCCTGTTGGGGACCTAGCTGTCATGGAAATGTGGCCTTGCATGGTGGGCAGCAAGCAGCAGAACTAATGCAGAACCCTGGAGCTTGGACTCCCAGCCTTTGCTAGCAGCAACAGTTTGGTGAGAGAGTGATGAATGAACCCCAGCAAAAAGCAGGAAAACTCTCATATTCCTTTTGCACCCTGCTAACTCCCTTCCCTACAAACGCTGTTGGAATCTGACAGTTGTCACAGGCTGAATGCTGTAGCTACGTAGGCCTACACCACATCCGCATGAGCTGGGGTAGGACTCAGACCCCCAGTCCATTCCATATGAGCTGAGCATGAATCAGTGCTACTTAACAGCCCAGCAGGGTCTCTAATGCCCCTTCCTGATTCATCCAATAGGGAGGCAGAGTGTACCCTACCCCTGCTCTTTATATGCTCCCCTCATTAGACAGCTCACGCTCAAGCACCTGAGGTTTGTGGGCGTTCGCATCTCATTGTGTGGAGTGCAAAATTCCAGGCGTCCACCACTGTGCACACCACCACTCTGGCCACCAACATGGGAGTCAAAGTCTGCTTCACCAAAAGGAGCTTCACCAGCCCAGGAACTAGGACACAGAGCTGAGCTGTTCCAGTGCTTTTCAGCAGAGGCCAGATGTGCACCTACTGTACCCACCCCTTCAGACTAGTCCCCACTTGTTGGGGGGAGGGGGGTGGTACCAGGCTGGTGCTCCTCCTTCCCTGTCCCACCTCATCCTTGCCTTTCATCTAAACCTTGGAGCTGAAATCAGGCCAGTGTCAGAGTGAAGCTGAACCTGCCAGCTGAACTTTTTACACGGCTTGGAACGCTGCATGCTAGAGAGACATAGTTTTTCCAGGCACAGGGGCCATTGGCAAATGTTTATCCAGCTGCAATAAATACTTCCTGTTGTTGACACTCAGAGAGCTGGGGGGCTGTCTCATTTGCACAAGTGCTGCACGTTCCTCATTGCCTGTGGTGCCGGAGGGCAGCACGGCATGGAAGGCAGCACCCCACGTGCCTAACGCCTCGCTCACCCCTTCTCCAGCAAGAGCTCTTGTTCCATTTACAACCCAGCTGTCTGCCAAGCAAAAGAAAGCATCAAGCTGCAGCCCAGGTTTCTGGGGAGAGCTGAGGTAGTGGCGTGTGCCAATGTTGTGGCTCGGCTCGGCAGTCTGCCTTTTACTGCTCACCATGATATTTCCGGGCAGGTTTCTATGCTCTATAAAAAAATACCATAGTAACTTGGAGCCTTCTGGTGGGAGGAGTAATAAAGTTGGTTTTTCCAACACTTGCTCTTCTTTTCTCACTTGTGTTTCCAACCAAATAGCAAACAAACGGCAGCACAGGGCAGCTTCCGGCATCGCGTGAGCTTCCATGGAGAAGGTGAAGAGACTGACCTCTTATCAAACCCTTCCCAGAGTATCCCTGAATGGATTAGAAACAAAACAACCCTGTGTTCCCTTCACACGCAATGGAAGCAGCTGAGCTATAGCAACCCTCTTCCAGTAGCTCTGTGTCTTTAATCCTCTGGAGAAGGTGCAGAGCTCTACGTGTGAACATATCAATACCTGTATGCAGCCACCTGTCTGCAGACAAGGGCATGTTTGCATTTCACTCATGAAGACAAATGTAGATGTGCCTGTGTGTCTGTGGACAGACGTACCAGCTCATTGCTTAACCCCAGTTTATCTAGGTGTATTGGTTTCTCTTGTAGCAGTGCATGTCCACACTCATATTAGAACAACCCAAGGTGTTCACCTGTGGAAGATTTCCTTTGGCCCTGGCACCTAAATACCACATATCCTGTGCCTTGCTGTTGTGTGGCTGGTGGGATGGAAGTTTCGAGGGCACCAGCTAAAAACCAGTCAGAACCCATCACACATTTCTGCCCAAAAATGTTATTTTGTCGCAATTGGGATTCAGCTGTTCCATGAGAAATCATTGATGCTATGGATGTTTTCTGTGGAAATAATGTGAAAGGATTCCAAAGGGAATGGAGCATTTCATTTTGACATTTCATTTGGTCTCTCCTGCCTTGACATGAATATGGTGTTTAATATTCTATTGCAACATCAAACTTTTAAATATTTAGTATTTTAGCTCACATGACATTTATCTGACTAGCATGACCAAGCAGAGATAACTCCTCTGAAAGGTTCCCTTCCCAGCTTTGCTATAACTTCCTGGGTGCCCCTGGGCAAGTGACAGACCCTTTGTGCTTCCCAGACCCCACTCATGTACCAGCACTGATGGTAGTGACCTTCTCTGTAAAGCACTTTGAGATCCTCCAGTGAAATGGGCTGTAGGAAAGTGAGGGATTATTCTGGGTTCAACAAAGACATGTTGGTGTTTCTGGAACAAAACCTTACAGAATTTCCATTTTCTTTTTTTTTTTTTCCATCCTGATTTGGAACAAAAGGACATTTCCAAATACTGGGATATCCTCAGCAGCAGAAACTCCATTTTCCAACCAACTCTACTAAGATTTTGGCTCAGTTGGTCTTCAGGAGCAGAGATTTGGGTCAGTTCATCCAGATTGGTTCCATGCTCCTAGCTAGTCCAGCATCCCTGGCATGCTGCTAGAACTGAGGTTGGGGATGGCAGGGGCAATCCAGTCCTCCCCAAACGCCTGTGGAATCCCGGACAGTGATACCACTGATTCAGCAGAGGGGGAGGGAAAGCAGAGTGGGGATGAGGCTAGGGGGGTGCAGGAAGTGAGCAGCTTATATCGTACAAAGAAAGCTTGATGTGATGTTTAATAATTATCATCTCCAAATAATGAGCATCTCCAAAGTACTGTGGCAACAATGGACATCACATTTATCCCAGCATAATCCATGTTATACTGGGACAAGGTACAATTGTATAAACATCCATGTCTGTTGTCCTAGGATAAATCCTTACAAAAAAAGTTCCCCAGGTAAGAGGTAATAACAGGGATATTGCAAAGTATGTGTGTACAATTATTTTGGGATTGCATCAGTGAATCAGAAAAGCAGCAATGCATTCAGCTGCTTACTAAAACCAGATTAGAAGAGTGATGTGTCTGCATCCCAGTCCTGGAATATTCTTGCTCCAGAACCAGCACAGGCATGACAAATGCAATGTCTGTTTCTAGCCTATGGCAGCTCTGACCCACAGAGAGGGATTGTCTTTGGATAGGTCCCTTAGCCTCACAGCTGTGTTGAAGAGCTCAGTTCACTAATGCTAGTAAAATGCTTTGGGACCCGTGGATGGAAAGGGGCAAGAGAAATGCAGAGGATAGTTGCTGTCACATCTACCAGTCCTACTTGAACAGTTTCTGCTAGAGCAGTACAACTGTTGTGCTGCTGCCCTCTAGTGCATACAGCCAGACGTTCTACCCGGTAAAGAAAAAAAATTGCTGGATTAATGTTAACATTAGTCCATCGTGGAGACATTTTTTGGAATATAGAGGAATGAGCATCTGTTTAAAGGATATTTGAACCATCCTATAGCTGCCACCGAGGGTGCATTTGTATAGCACCTACTATACTGAGGACTCTGTCTTGCGTGGCTTCTAGTTGCTACAGCACTAGCTGCAGCCAATAATACTACAATTCTGTTAATAGTCTTTTAAAATCAATGAGAATGCCATAGTGAAAAGAAAAGAAAATTGTATAAACCATCCCTCCGCCTGTACGTTCTCCCTTTTTCCCATCTCTGTTTCCTCCTGTAACTATCTCATCTGTCTAGGTTGAAGACTTGTTGGGGGAAAGACTTCTGTCTCTTCTGTTTGTACATGACTTGGAACGCTGGGCTCCACATTTGTCTGAGGCCTGTTGGCTCCACCAGAATACAACTAAGTCAATGAATAATCCCTGAACAAAGCACGGTATTGTTTGTATTGTGTTCATGCCCAGAGACAAATGCATAACAATGGGATGATGAGAAGAGGGAGCCAGAGCAGTCCAGGAACAGAAACTCCAACAAAGATAAATAATTATCATGTCCAACATGTTTTTACAGAGGATTTCAAAAGATGGAACTGGTGGCTGCTTCGGACTACTCCCTCTGTGACCAGTTGCTCCAAGTCTAGATTTAAGCTCCTAACCCTGCTCTCCCTTCCTTCCCTGTCTCCAACAAGGTACCGCACCTTCTTCAGACCCAGGTACAAAATCGGCTACAAGACAGTGACAGAGCTGGCATGGAGGTGCTGCCCTGGGTTCATGGGAGAAGGCTGCCATGACAGCCCCACTGACCAACCAGGCTTATTGCCCCAACACCCTAGCCCTAAGCTGCCTCCCAGTCAGAAGCTGTTTCCAGGCCCCAGAATTCCTCCTCATCCAAAAATCCACCAAGACCAATTTCCAGGACCAAAGAAAAGCTACTACGGTGAGTCACTGGGGAGCTGCCTTTGCTTTGATTTCACACACCCAGGTCAATTTGACAAAAATCAGTGACATAGCTGGCCTCATTGTTAGCCACTTTAGAAGGCAGGGCAAGACTCAAATGGGCTTTGGGGCAAGCACCTCTTCTCTCCCCACTAAAGAAGGTCTTTCCAGCTCACACTTGAGCTACCCATGCCATACAGCATGATGGCCAGTGGTTACCTACACGCTACCCATGCTTAGGATAAAGGACCTCATTTTCCAGAGCTGCCAAAGCATCTGTGCCCAGTGTTGTTGGGCAATCTTGGAGCTTAGCCTTTGGGGCTTGGACCCTTACGCCCTGTAGCTCAGGTCATTTGGGAACAGAAATTCTAAGGTTGTGTGGCATTCACCAATAATCACTGGGCAAAGTAGATTTTAGTGCCAATGCACTGGATACTGTCAGCTGGGGGGGAGTGGGAGCAGTATACTACATTGCAACAAGTGGATATCTAAATGTGGCCTCCCATGAAATACTCAAGGGTCGACAACAGGGACTTGCCAAATGTGATGCTGGCATCATGGCATTGGTGGTACATGGACATATGCAAAACCAAGGAGTGGCCAAGGTGAAAAGGCAGAGCACAGGAGAGAAAGCTACAAGTTAACACCCAATTCTAATCTCAGTTATGTGAAAGGGCCTGGGACGGAAGTATGGGAGGGACCATTTGCAGGCCAGAAGCTTTGAGGTTAGGAAACTCCAGTAGAAGACCCCACAGTCTGAGGCACAGGAACCTAATTCAGTCCCATTTATATTCCCACCTTGCAATTCACCTGCCATTTTCTAGGACCTGAAATTTAAACTCACTAAGCACTGCCTCACCAGGTCTGGGGGGAATAGCTGGGCTCCTCACACCTTTGAAACCCCAGGTTCAGCACTTCTAAAATATAAGAGCCAAATAATTTCCTTAGCAAAAATGGATTGAATGTACCCAGCTCAGACCCAAAAGGAATAACCCCACTCTGTCTGTGAGAGGTCACAAGCCAGACACCTGTAACCATGAGCCCCTCTTCACAACACTTGCCTTTCATCATTATCACAAAGGACACCAGATCCAGAGCAGAATGGAAACAAAGTAAGCAGCTTCCCATTGTATGCTCTGAAATGCTACCATGTCTTCAGCCAGACAGCCACAGAAGACTGCATCAGAAGAGGCAGCTGGAACTAATGAAGCATATTTTGAAATATACTGTACATTCCTGGCCCTTTAAAAATCCCTCCCATCTGGAAAGAAGGGAACATCTTTATTTTACAGGTGCTCATTGGCATTCACCCTCCAGGGCAGGAAATACCCTGCAGGCCATGTGGATTTTCAAAGGGTCAGGAGACTACTCTCCAGTCACACAGATCCACCTCTTACCTTTCAAGTTGCTAGCCCTGAACAGACTCTCCACTGCTCTTTCTAAAAGTGTATTTTTACAAGCAGTTTCCTTGTCAGACAGTAAATCAGGGGATTGTTCTATTCTACTGCACAGCCACATTAGACATGCCTGTTCAGGGAGAAAGCTTTGCTGAACGTGTCAGAGAAGGGGTGCTTGTGAGAAGGCACAGTTCGATAAGAAGTGGCTCCCTTCATGACATAGGTTCCCCTAGGAGGAAGAGCCCTAGAGGAGGCTGCTAGAAACCAAACTTCCTGTCAAACAACTTGCTCTTTCATGTACCTGATTCTATGCCACCTTAGAAAGCAAAAGCCTGATCCACAACTCAGTGAAGTTTGTGGGTTTCTTCCAATCACTTCAGCAAGTGTTGGATCTGGCTACTGGATCCTTGGTTCCTTTGGTGACACATATAGATACACATAGAACTGAAAACTCCCATTCTTGTGGGTACCATTAAAACTCTCCTACTACCTACTTGTAGTAACTAGAGGCCGCTACCACTGGTGCCAAATACTGCGCCGTTCACCATCATCAGCAAGTCGGACGGGGCTGCATGTGCTGAACCTGGCCACTTGAGGGAAACAGAGAATCTGTTCCACTTTTCACTTCTTAGACTGTAATTAATATGGGAAGCAGAAACCCCTGGTTATGCCAGGTTTACCTATCAGCCACCTGCAGATGCATGGCCCCGTGACCATTGTGATTGCACTCAGATATTAGTTTGCCTAGTGGGGCAAGCAATAGGGCCACAAGGAAGTTACAATTAAAGTAGGAGCAAGGCTGAAAGAACAACAATAACCCATCTTTTCTTCTCCCCCTACCTCATGTCTCTTCTCTCACACAGGTAGGAAGATGCCTGGCATCTTTGGGGACAGGCTGGACCGGCTGGAGGAGGAAGTGAGGCACCTCTCACAATCCTATGACACTCTGCACAATATGGTGAATGGCCTGGGGGACCACCTGCGTCTGGCCATCCAGGAGGATACCAGTAAGATGATTGGGTCCCTGATGAACAGCCCAAGTGTGCCTGACGCCACAGTGGGCTTTGGGGTCATCCCAGAAGGGATCGCGGATGTAGCAGACAAAGCAGACATCGCCACCTACCCACCGGTGGGGGAGATCTTGGGCAAAGTGACTGAGGTGAGCGACATCCTGAAAACCAAGACAAACCTGCTGGATGAGGTACATGGCATGGTTCTAGACCACGATGGACAGATCAAGCACCTGCTGGAGTCAGCCAGGCCCTCGCCCCTCACCTCCATCGACATGCTGGAGGAGTACATCGACAGCCGGCTGAGCCATTTGCGGGGGGAGCTGCTGGATGGCTTTGAGAAGAAGCTGGGCAAAATACAGAGCACCTGTGACTTCAGGATCCAGGAGGTGCAGCAGCAATGCGAGGAGGAGAAAGCCGCCAACCTGCGGCTGCAGCAGACTCTGGACGGCAAGGAACTAGAGATTAAGAAGGAGATCTCCCAGCTGGAGACCCAGATCCAAGGATTGACCGTGGTTGAGAGCTGCTGCAGCAACCTAAACTACCTCACTGAGCGCATGAACATCCTGGAGAAGGGCCTCCACAGCATCTCCGAGTCCCAAAAGAACTTGCATTCACAACTGGATGGAGAGCTCTCCACCATCACCCTGGAGAACCTCTTTGAAGGGCGCTTTGAGGACCTGGAGTCCAGGCTCAATGCCACGGAAAGGGAGATGGGCAGCTGCTGCCCAACACTGGAGGACAGTGTGAGGGGCATGGTGGTGTCAGAAGTGGATGGCATGAGGACATCATTCGATGATAAAGTGAGAATCTTGGAGGACAGGTTCATGACCATTGTGGGGGAGCTGAGCAACATCAGTGCTCCAGCTGGCATGGATGGATCCGTGATGCCCCTGCTAGAGGGCGAGCTGACTAATGTGAGAAAGCAAACAGATGAGAGACTAGATGTCCTGCAGAGTCAGCTCACCAGCCTGGAGACCACCTGCTCCCTGGGCTGTACCTCCTCTTCCAAAGATGTGGAGACTTTCCGGACAGAAATTGAAGACTGCCAGAGCAAGAACCAGGACCTGCTGCTCAGGATGGACAGCAACTATGACCTCCTGCGCAAGCTGAACGCCACCATCCTGGAGATCCAGCGGCGGATTGAGGAAGAGGCAGCTGGATCCTTGCAGGGTGAAATCACCCTGCTCAAGATCAACCTGAACACTGTCAGCAAGTCTCTGACAGGACTCAAGGACTCTGTCTCCCAGTATTCCAACACGATGCTGCATGTCAACTCCTCACTGGATGACCACGAGCGCAAGATTGAGGATGAGGTCCACTCCATCCAGGAGCAGGTCAGCGACCAAGGCTCGCAGCTCTTCTTCAGCAACAGGCGTGTTCTGAACCTCAAGGGTGACTTGGAGAGACTCAAAACCAGAATTGTGAATGACCTGAGCAACTGCAAGAATGTCGCGCATGACCTGCAGAAGGAGATGGTTCAGTTTGACAACCGTGTGGCCCAGGTAGAAAACATGTGTGGCAGGCTGGGCTCTGTGACAAGCAGCCTGGACATCATCAAGGATGAGCTGGAGAAACACACAGGCAGCCTCTGGGGCTACATGGACCATATGAATGGGACTTTGGCTGCACACTCTCAGGAAATAACTGTACTGAAGGACAACTTGCTGGATTGCCAAGCCAAAGTCACTGAGCTGGCTGAACAAATTAGCCAGTTGGAAAGCACTCCGGAGGGAAAGCAGCATTAGCTATACTGAAACCCCCATCTTTTTTCTTGAAGAACAGAATTAACTTATATCACACAGACTCCAGTGGGACAATGTTTTTTTTCCCCTATTATTAAAGTATAAATTAAAAGCTGCTACAATCCCTTCTCCCATTTTTCTTCCATATATATTTTTCTTCCTAAGAAAAGTGAGATTGTACCAGCCCACGTTATCCCTTCGAAATTACTGTACTGCTCTGTGACACTCAGCATCTGTACTAACATTGTAGCAAGGTGCCGGTCCATAGCTGGGTGGTTTTTAGTTTGACTACCAGAGCAATGACCCAAGAAGGGTCATCAGGATGATGGCAATCCAGGATGATTCACGATGATCCCTGCTTCAGCTTCATTTTTGTGGATTTGCTTCTGGAGGATAAAAACCTGTATTTGTGGGTCGGGTTGGAGAAACTCTGTTCATGCATGTTACCCACTAGCACAGAGATAGCCGGGGACCCCCAATAGCAATGCCACCACCAGAAGTCTGGCTATTAAAAGAATGCTTTCTAGCACCGCACCTCCCCCCCTCCCAAGAATTCAATTCCCTCTTTTGACTTAGTAGGTGCCCTTTTCTTCAGCTGAGCAGACTTTGGGGGCTCAACTACCTAATTAATCTATTTGAGTAAGAAAGTGCCCCTCCCTGCACACAAGACATTGCCAGCTCCTGTAGGAGTGCATGCATCAAAATGGCAAACTTGTATACACCATTCTCTTCTGCCCCTCATTCCTGATTGCAGCTTTCTTCATTTTACTTGCTGTGCTCCGGAGCTTGGTCTATAAAGCTGGAGGCTGTGTGCCATTGTAACTTTCTACCTGTTCCACATGTAGCATTTCTGGGGAGACCTTTTAGGACTCTACTACATTTTGTGAGTGCTCTCTACTCAGCTCTCCCAGTCCTAAGTTAAACAGGAACAAAGGCTGCTAAGAAGCCTGCATTCTTTGCAAAGATTGCAAACAGTGCACAGCCCTGGCTCATTACCTGGGTCATGTTTGCACCTAGGCCTCCAAAGGTGGAAAGCCAAGGCAAGAAGCTGTTAGATCCCCCAGCCCTGGCACCTGGTTTTCAAGGGGAGAGGGGATGTGTACAAATTTCCTTCGTCCATCAAGTGGCATTTACTACCCACAGTGCTGAAGTGTAGGTTTTGGGGAATAGGATTTACCTGTTCACTGATTAATGTGTGCTTGTTTGTGGTATTCTATCATCGTGCAGACTGAAGGCCAGTCAGTATCCAATCCAGTTCATGCACCGCAGCTGCCTGAAGCACCTTGGACATGTGACTTCTCTAGAGAGTGGATGCCTTTACCTAGTGCCAATTAGGAGGGAAAGACAGTGGTGTTGCTTATAGCACCTTTGAACACAGGACTCTTCTAACTGCTTTTACAAGCTCAGTCTCGGAGGTCTTTGCAGTTTCCACAGTTGTTCAGATGGACCAGATGGGGCACCAAGTGGGCAAGCAACTGCCTGACAGCACCAAAAGGTTTAGCTGGGACTGGAACTGAGACTCAGCCTGCAAGGAAACTACTAGATGTCGGGGGCCTCTACCTTGCAAATGTGCAACAGCCACTAACAAGGACTGCACTCCAATCCGAAGAGCAAGCTCCTCTCCCACTGAACGTCCCCAGGGAGCAAGGAAAACATTCAAATACGGTTCACACAGGACTATCTAGAGGACACCTGCTCCGTATGGACTGCAATGTTCCAAATCAGAAGTCCACTAGCACTTTGAGTCACAGCAAGCAAATCATTTATGGTTAGGCCAAGATGGGACTTGTCACCATTAAGCATTAAGAGGAAACATAGGAGTCTCCATTCCAGCAATGTTGGCACTTTAAGGAGAAAGAAAAACTGCCATTGTTCTCCCATCTGTCCTACTGCAACTGTCATTTACCCTTTCATACTGGCCCTGCATCAGTTCTGCTTCCCTCTCACCCACCCCCAAAATGCTCTTGAGCTTTCACTCCTGACCTTTCTGCATTGCTCCCACTCACCTTTCTGCCCCCTTG